TAAGAATTTAACTGCTAAAGAAAGGATCAGTACTCGTAAAACTTTAAAACAACATGTAAAATCCCGTATAAAATTTGATTTTTGTGAGAGCAATTCGTACAATCCCGTAAAAAAAAAAAAACTTAATTTTGTAAGAGCGATGCCATAAAAATCTTTATTTTTATTAACAAATAAATTTCTACCGAATTTCAACTTGAGGGGTGACCAATTATGGACGTGACGAATAATAATTGGTTATATAAAAATATATAGCCAATTCTTATTCGTCACACGACAATTGATTACGTACACCATCCTTTCAAGTATTTGAACTTCAACGAAGGTCACACAATTAAATTATTTACGACCATACCTGATAAACTAGGTTTATAGAGCATAGGGTCCCTTAACGTTAATACGTATAAATTTGTTTATATAATTTGTTGTAATAAATCTTGGTTATCGAATACGTACTCGGAACTTTGTACGTATCATAGTCTAATTTGCAACTAATAAGGATTGATATTGATGTACCACTGTTTCAAAGCACATACGTACGTCGTACGTATGTCTTAAAAACTCGTTTTATTCAATTAGGATAACTGCACGACATGATCGTGCTGAAAAGGAATGTTACAGATTTTATTTTCATACGTATTATATTTAAACAATAATGTGTAATGTTTTGCTTGGACATTGGTTTTGGAATATGAATTAAAAATGGAACTTTGGTATGAGAAAAGTCTATTAATATTTCACGACAGTAATATACGATTTAAAAATATATATTTGGCATTTCTTTTATTAGAGTTTATTCCTTTATAAAAAATACTATTTTGATGATTTAGTAGTACTAAGATCGGAAATATTAAATGATGCAGCTGCTGCAGTAATATTTTGAATATTCATATCGAGGATAGAATCAGATTTTTCTTTTATAGTTTTCTCATTATCCACTGTTGTAACATCTGTAGTTAAACATTCATTGTTTTCAGATTTTAAAGGGATGAAAGATTTGTTGGTAGTATATTGAGAAATATGATTTTCCATCATTTCACGAAAATTAGCAATATTAACTAAGATACGAGTAGGTTCAATTTGTTTTACAGAGTTATTTGTAGAATTTAAATCTGTAGAACCTTTTTTATCATCCGTAACAAGATCTTTAGTTTCGTCGACGAGGTCAATGACTTCAACTACAGTATCAGCATCGGATTTCAAAATTCCATTAGTGAACAAAGTGAATCTACTAGTAAGGACTGAGAGATCTATTGATGATGTCACATTTTTAAATCCTTCGACACTCGTACGAACTTTATCTGAAGCATCAACCGCAACCTGAGCTACAGTACTTGTGACAGTTAAATCAGCAAATGCTCCGTCATTCGACTTAAAATTATTTACAACATCTGAAACCTGATTAATTCCATTTAATACATTTTCGCCATCAGAACTATCCATTATAGCAAGGCATAATACACTAATATCATTAATGACATCACAAAAATCGACTATAGCATCGTTTAGATCGCTTACAACTTCAATCAAATCATTAACTTCAGATAAATCGATTGCTACGACAGTAGCAAAGAGTTTCACAGATTTCCAAAGTTTAACCCATTTATTTTTAAAAATCTCAGTTTCAGGATCATGGTCAAATTTTTTAGAGTCAAGATTTCGATTATCCATTTCGTTAGTCACATTATCCATTTGTGATTTTGTATAACAATGAGCAATTAAACCAGTTGTTTTAACACTGGCTTTTGTTACGCCATGAACAGGACTAACGAGAGTTGTTAGAATAACATGGGTTGGAGCATAAGTTGAAGCGATTTCTTGAGCTACACCCAAGCGAATTTTGCGAGCTCTGAGTGCGTGGTAAAGCTCATCATCGGTCATTTCTTTAGGATTCTTCATTTTTTTATTTTTTATTTTATTTTATTTTTTAAGTTATTAAAATTTGGTTTGTATAGGTTGAATAATTTTTCAATTTTTTCTAGAGTCGTTATCGTTATTTTTAGAAGTTACTTATTAAGTATATATATTATAGCTATGATGAATGCCTATCATATAACCACATGAGC